TGTGGCGGAAAGCGAAAGGGGGGGGGGGGGGAAACAAGTTTTGCTCTTCACGTGCTCTGGCAGTTACGTAGGCACGTGCGTAACCTTGCTCTGTTGGGAAGTTTCATCAGTCCGTCTAGTTACGTGGTAACGTAATACTCACCGATTTTAATGAGTAAGTTTTGACAAGGGAGGAAGGGTCTGCAGTTGCCTCACTCGTGCTTTGCATTTCCGTGGTGCGAATGGAATAGATATGAATAGAATATATATGTATCTGTAATGAAATGTGCAGAGATACATCTGTATATTTCTGCTTCTCTGTCCGAAACCTTAGCTTTCTGGCAAACTACTTTTACTAGGGCACAGCGCAGGCAGCGCGAGAGGTTCGTTTTTTGTGTGGCTGTGAGCGTTTAAACTCGAGTGCCGCCTGCGCTGATGGCAGGTCTGCTGCTGCTGCGCCTTGCGTGGCTCCCGGCTCTGGCAGGCTGGGAGGTGCTCGAGTTTTCTGGGGGCTCAGCAGCTGCTCTTCTTGCCTGTGTGGAGGGGTGGTTTGACCTGCTGTGGGGATTCCGGTGGTTGCCGTAAACCTCTCAATGTCAGCTGCTGTAGCAAAAAAAAAAAAAAAAAAAAAAGCTGTTTAGGGTTATCGTTAGAAAATTAGGCATGGATGTGACACTGTGGCATGTCACACCACGTTTTTAAAAGGTATAGTACTTTCCTGATTTCTGGCAGATTACTGAAGAATTGCAGTGCTTACCTGTTTAGGAGCAAATGTTAGCATTTGCCTCCGTAAAGGAAAACAACTGTTGTACTCTTGCTATTTTTATCAATACGTAAGTATTGCTTGCATATGTAGGCTGAGAGGCGGAGTGAAGAATATAGTTATTACACTCTAGTAGGTCTTTTCATCTCTTGTCCTGTCATCTTAACTCACTTATGCTTTTCATTTTCTTTTCTTTTCTCTTGACCTTGTCCTTTTCCTTTCCTCATTACATTATCTGACTCACTTTATTCACCCCTCTCTTTGCATATGAGCACCTAATATAGTTCCTAATGAAGTCAGTGAAGTGAGTCTCATTAATTTGAAGAACTGTAGAACTGAGGTAATCTTCGTCTCCTTCTTCACACCAGTGGCTTTTCCTAGCCCCTAAGTTTTGGGGTTTTGTTTGGTGGTTTGTTTTTTTTTTCTTCTCTTGTGCCTCACCACAAATTCCCTTGTGCCAAAGAAACTGGCTGGTTTTGTTTATCACATCCAGAAGATTTCTCTCTGTAAAAGGACCAAGGAATACTTTCCATGCTTCATTGGTATGAAGTAATATTGTAGAGATTATAATTATCTCATGGAATAGCTTTTAAAGATCATCTCCAGGAGCAGCCTATATAAATGCTGCTTGTTCTCCTTGCAAGCTTCTCCCATGGAGCTCTGGAGCAGCACAGTGATCAAGGAATGTACTGAATGCAGTACCATAGCAGTTACAGTGGGGTAGTCTGAAACCTATTTCACACCAGGGTGATGAGGTTCCACTGAGAGGAAAGATATCTCAGTGATGTAGCTTAATCTGCCAGTGCTCAGAAATGTGTTTTATGTCTGTGGCCCGTTGCATTAGTGCTGAACTAGCACATTCTAGATTCTGAGCTGTGCTTGTTGAACTTCCAAAGAGTGTTAGGAGGAAGGTTGTGGGCTCAGCACTAGTCTTAGGAAGAGAAACTTTGCTAAGTGGTCATAAAACTGTTACAGTAAAATGGGCAAAATGAGACTAGAACATTGTATTTGCGTCTGATAGTATTCGTTACTTTAAATACACAGCTGTGCTTGAGGTACATGATGTCAGCAAGCAGTCATGATGTTAGCCTGACTCATGTTGCACCTTCTACTTTGCAAAAACTGTCAGAGGATGTCAAGACTTGCTACACTTCATGGACTCCAAATGCCAGTGACCTCTGAAGCGTTGCACGCTATCATATTGTACGAGGACACTCAGCCTTGTTTTACTCCAGTGAACTTACCTCAGTTTCAGGCAATTTTGTTGCTGCTTATACTGGGGAGGGTGTGTAGACATTTTAAAGTATTCAATACAGCTGAGAAGTCCCTATTGCTGTCACACCAAAATGTCACATGTGGGGTAACACATGCTCTGTTTTTGATGGGATCTGTTGCAACACATGCACCTTGAAGCAGAAAAGGACCTTCCTTTCCGCAGTTCCCCGTGTTGGGATATAAACAAATATAAAAAACAGGAGAGCGTGAGCCTTAGGTCACCTTAAAATACACAGATATTGGAGCAGAAGTTAGCGGGACAGTAAGAGGCTATGTGGTAACAGCAGTGTATTTAGTAATGCAGCATGTTTTCTTGGTGTTGGGAGGTGGCTACTCGCAGAACAATGGTCAAGCTTTCTGTAACCAGACAGAGAAGCAATGGAACTGGCAGAGCAGAAGCAACGGGCTAATACTGGTGAGCAAGTATACAGAGCAACTGGGAAGTTTGGAAATATCAGTATGTGTCATATATGTAGTGGCAAAAAATGGTGCTGTATGTCAAACAACATAGAATAACGTGTCCAAACGCAGCAATTTATCAGGACAGCAGAGTGCTTTTGCATAATAGCAGTTGTTAGGAAAAACTTGCTTTTGAAACTCTAAACAAATAAAAATAGTGTCTGCTATCAGAAGATGGGGTTCAAGTGGTAGTTGTAGTGTTCTGAAGAAAATACAGTTTTCATTGTGAAATGTAAAATACTGTGCAGTGATACAGGATACATTCATATTTCATTTAGATTTATAGAATAGAATAACTTCTGTTTTCTTTTTAAGGAAAGAAGGATTGTCCAAGTGTGGAAGATGTAAACAGGCCTTTTACTGCAATGTGGAATGTCAGGTATGGTAATGCAGTTTCTGAGGATGAGGGGGGAAGGAGGGCAGGGGTTGCTGAACTCCGTTTTTTTGTTTGTGTGGCATTGATAGTCTCTAATTGTAGCTATGGTTAATAGTAGTCCAGTCAGTTTCAGCATCCCGCAGATGCTGACCATGGAGTTGTGCATTGGACAATTACAGGATTTGGACATGGTCTGCATGAGTCTTTCAAGATCAGTAGCTCCAGGGCTTGGTACCACTGAGGCTTTGATTAGAGCTGCCTGTCAGCCCACTAATTATGTCTGTATTACTTCTTTCTTTAAGCACAAACCAGATAATTTAACATTAGCTTGCTAGACTGGTAAGAGAGCCTGTATCTAATGGAAAAATTAAATCCCTAAATAGCTATCTTAAGGGTTTTTTGTTGGGGTTTTTTTGTAGAATCTTTGCAAATATTTTGGGTCACCACAGCTGACAGTAGTCATAACCATTTGAAACCTACCATGCTTTCTCCCTAACTCACTCATTCTGGCAACTCTTATTCTTTTTGTATACTTTGGTTTTCAAAAGCCCCTGAAAATAGAATATAAGTGTACACTAAAGTAGAGCAGTATAAAGACATCTGAAACATTTGCATGCAGTTTTAATTCCACTTTTACTTCAAACTAGAATAAGCACCTTTCAAAAAAACCCCTTTTTTTGCCAGAACTAGTATCTAGGCTTTGTGGGCTGTCAACTTGGTATGGAAGAATAATCCAGTTTACATGTGAAAAACTCAACTGGATTGCTAGCTAAACGATGTAAGCTATGTAAGGTCTGTTGTGCTGGGCACAGAGTATGGAAGAGTGCTCATGAAGGATTTGAGTCACCAAAGGTTTGGCCTACGACTATGTGTTAGCTATAAATAATCCAGACCTTCTCCTACATAGTAGTGCACTGTTGAATGCATGGGTTGCATGCAAAGTATTCTCCATTGTCATTATCTGGATGGAGATGTTGCTGTTTGTGCTGTTCGGTTCCCAAGCACTTTGGAGATGACTACTGCTTTTATTTCAAGGATGTATCTTATTCTCCTATTGTGCAAGTTGCAAAGCAAGCCTTAGTTTTCCTTCTGTTGCCTCCCCTGATTCCTGCTTTCCCACAGTGTCTTAGTGAATTGTGGATTAATCAAATGGCCTTTTGGTTTTGAAGCACCAGGAGGACTCAAAATGCTTAAAAGAAATAAGTTATTTACAAACTTTGCAATAGTTCACAGAATATTGAAAGACTGACAGCCAGCAGTTGCTGGGAAGAAAGAGAGCGCTTACTGTATGAGCATCCTTAAGGCTCTTGAGAGAAATCTGGGTGAGTTTTAAAGACAGTGTGGAGAAACCCCATGATTCATTCATGAGAAATGCTTATTTGTAAGAAACGTTTCCATATGACATTATTTCTTAGGAAACTTTTAACTAGATGAGGGAAGGAAATACTTCAACAAAGCAATTTATTGGCTGTTTAGTGCTTTTTATCTGAGATTGTGAGTTTTTTTCTTACCATACAAAATTCACAATGGTTTATGAAGCAGGTAAGCAAGATTTACTGAAGTAGGAGAGCTTAGTGATTTGTGCCAGGAAAAAATAGCAGTAGGTATCATGGTGGAAGTAGTAGAAATTTCTGCTGATCCACAGTCCTTTGCTTTTACCTCCAAGTCCCTTTTTCAGTCCATCCATCAGTGTCCTGTCTTCTAGCCTTGAAAAAGTTTATACTTTTATATTTAAGAACGAGGAGGGTTTTTTTCTCTCTTTCCCCTGGGTAAAGTTTTGTAGATGTATTGCTTTCTTAATTTGATTTTTTTCCTTAAATTTTTTTTTTTTTGTGGTGGTGGTGGTGGTGGTCAGAATACTCTTTCTCTAGTGGGCCATATTCCAAGAATAAAATACCAAACTACTCTGAGTGTCTTTAAGACTGTGGAGATGATGCTTAGCAAATACCTGTCTGTCTGATAAGTTAATGAATTAAAATCTTTTCCACCTGTTGGTGTGTAGGATGATGCTTTAGATATAAAGGCATTTTTTAGATGTTGTGATGTCTAGACAATAGTATAAGCACTGGTACTAGCACACGCTTTTACTGGTGATACGCGTATGGTTTTTGACTCCCTAGTTGATACAACATGACCTTCCATGTTTTGGGCCCTTCTGAGTCAGTCTGATGAAATTTATGAATGTTGCTGAGATTGAATTCTTTGACATTCTTTCAAAGTTACCTTCAAGCATAATATTCTCTAGAAACTAGTCTCCACTGACTGTACGTGCTGCACAGACAATCTGCACTGCATCTTCATCCCTGTCTTGTTCAAAGGCACTTTTCAGCAGCTCAGCAATTCTTTGTCAAAGCCAAAAAGGACATCTGTGCCTTGATACTGAACTTGTAACACTGGGATGTACAGTAAATCTGTCCCTTTTGCCTCCATGGATGTGAGGCTTCTTCATGCAATGCTGATAAAAGGGCAGGGCTGTACTTGACAATTGTGATGGCATTGTTCATTTGATTTTTATTTTTTTAAGTTAATTTTCTTTGTAAATCCATGTTTTCTTTGCTCAGTTCAGCTAAAAATGACATGTACCCAACAAGGACATGGTATGATTTCATATGTTGGTTAATACCTTGTTACTTAATATAATTCAGTTTGACAGCTGTTTATCACATGAAGTATACTGTGAAAACCAAATTTTCTGAGCTTGCTCTTTTCTTACTTAAAGACCTGCTATACCACAGTTCACAGGAATTCTTTCTAGGGATAGAGAGAGATGGATCAGAAGGAGACAAGAGAAAGGTGCTAATGTGTGTAGCAGGAAACACATTTTTTTGATGTCTTTTTTAGAATATGGATTTTAAAACTGCAGACATCTTCTTCTCTCTAGTGCCTTTCTGTTGAGATTTTTTTTTCTCTTTCAGAATAACGTTGTTACTGAACATAAAGTTAGTGACACTGCATGTATTTCCTGCTCTGTTGAGCCATATAGTATCCTTGTTTTGAGGTTCTTAAAATACTTTCCAAGCATTAATGAATGAAGCCTGGCAGCAGCCTTTGTGACATTTCTGTTTTTGCAAAGGGGTTATAGGTACACAAAGCTACATTGACTTGCTGAAGATCCCCCAAGTGGTAAAAGAATGCATCTCCTGCCATGTGGCCAGTGTTTGATACATTGACCAAGTCCTGCTTTGCAGTATAATTCCTTTGCCCTGGTTGCTGGAAGGGTAATGTCACATTGTAGTGAGGGGCTGAACCCAGGGGAAGACAAGTCTTGCAGTGATATAGTGGTTGATTTGCTTAGGGCTCTCTATACACACACATATGCATGCATGCTGGCCCTGGCATAGTTCCCTTAGTGCTAATTTGTCTTTTGCCTGTTTTGGTCTATTATTTTGCTTTTACAATAGATAACCTTAAGTTTGACCTATATTAAGCTGGATGTTTGCACAGGCGTAGATTCAGTCTCAGATGCGGGGCATGTGAGAGTGGAAGTTGTCTTCACTGCCTGTCCTTGCTGCCTTGAATGTTTTGTGAGTTGGTAGGATCTAGCCTGGGTTTGCTGCGTCTTTCTTTTCCCATCCCCTAAGCTAGTTCTCCTTTTAAAAGGGTTTGTGATTTCCAGCTGATTCATACTGTTCTGCTCTCCACTGTTGCCTCCTCGAAGCACAGGCCTGTTATTGCATAGTGGCTTTCAGACCCCATCTGCAGCTGTTCGGGTCTTGACTTCTTAAATTATAATAATTTTAGTCAAACAGCAGGAGACCTGCGCTCATTTTTTCTTCTCAGAAATTAGCTGCTGAAACACTCCAAAGAGAAATGTTTTAAGAGGGTTATGTGGTTGCAATTGTGGAACTGGTGAACTTGAACCAGCTACTGGAGCTCCTCTTTCTGTTACTACACAAAGCTATTATTTATCCCAGACAGAGTGGAGATCAGCTAGCCAAAGTGCAGAAAGATGTTTTTGTCCTGACTTTCCATATTTGAAATACATTTTGAACAAAATATTTACGTGTTTTTCTTAACATGTCATGTTAAAGAGTGCAGTAGTTGGTATTTCTGGAGTAAGGGAAACCTGTATTTTTAACCAGCTAGTAAGCCTCAAGATGTAGTTGTAGACCTGGAATTAGCATCAAGCAGATGTGTTTTAAATGGGACCTTGTAGAAATTGCCACTCCTTTTTGGTGAGCTGTAGAAAAAATATGAAATTCTTGCTGTAATGATGCCGCACAAGAGGAATCTGACACTGCATGATCCTGCTTAAGATTGCCTTGGGGAGGTGTCTGTCCCCCTATCCAAAAACTTTCTCCATGTAGTTTTCTTTGACAAATGTCTCCTGTGAGCCTTTCGACCATTAACCCACGGAAGTCAAATACCATTTGTGGCCCAGCATTTGGTAAACGATGGTAGGGAAAGATGACTGTGAAGACATGTGAAACTCTTACCTTCACTGCTTGGTGAGGGACTGTATCAGAGAACTTTACCGGATAACATCAGACATTGGAAGTTGCCTCACTGAAATTCAATTAAAGAGTTGGATGCCATTTGAGCATACTTGGGCCTTAAGCTTTTGAAGGAGTGGGCTTTATCCCTACACTGGCTTGCCCAGCATTTCTGTCTGGTCTTTGTGTGTGTTTGTTTTTGATCAAGTGAAAAACAGAAATTTTACATCCTATTGAAAAAGTCCTTGTGAGGAAGGAGCTGCGAGGACATTTGTTTGAACTTGAGTCTTATTTTTTTTGAGTGTCAAGTTCTGTTGTTTGGTTTGGTTTTGTTTTGTTTTTCTGAGCTATATGACAGTGTTCTGGGAAGTGATCCAGTAGTCTTGGATGGTGGAATCATTTTGAAGAACTTGGTGGAGAAGATTGTTTCCATGCTTTGATGTGAAAAGCATAAGCTTTAAAGAACTTCCCTTCCAAAAATGTTGTCACTCACTCCTAAATGAAGGGAAAAATACTGCGGATGTAATGAAAATAGGAAGAAAATATCATTAATGTAGCATTAGGGATTCAACTAGAACAATGCTACCTGTTATAATTCAAGCTACCTAGAGAAAAACGTGGAAAAGAATGCAAAATACAGTCCTGCTGTGATTGCAGGGAAAGCTACTGTCACAGTGTTTCCATCCCAGGCATTACTCAGTCATCAGTACTTTCTTTTCTTGTGGTGTTTCAGGCTTTTATCTCATTTCACACAATTCAGCCATATCTTGTCCCTTTAACCTCCCTACTAGTTCATATAACTCAGTATGATTCTGCCTGGGGAAAGATTTTAATTAACAATGTGTAAAGAATAAAGGGAACAAACGGATTTTTAAAAACAATGCTTTGAGACAGGCACGTGATTTTGCATTTTGCTTTTTTCTTTTATTGGGTAGTCTCTCCTGTTTATTTAACTGGTGCGTATGGATGCAGGTCCTACAAAACTTCAGGTTCTGTGCCTTCGCATCTTGCACACCCATCAATCACGCTGAAGTTGGTGGGTGTGCAAGAAGGGGTGAGAGATGAGGTCTCCCTCTGTCTCTCTTCTTAGCCTTTAGCCTGTGGATTCCTAAGCGAAGGCTATCAGGGAATTTTCCAGAAAAAGGTCTTGGGGCATACATAGGAAACAGGCCTCTCTGGGGATGCATTTTGTAGTGTGACAGCTGTAGGAGAGTTGAGAGTGTAATTTCACATGACATGATTAGAGTGTAATATACTATTTTGGTTCTCCTGGTCTGTGTTGCCACATCCTCTTAGAACATTTACACTGGAGCTTATTTCAAGCAGCCTGTATATAGGTTTTTTTGGAAGTACCATACTGAGATATCAAGGACAATGAAGTTGACATTGTGAGTGGTTGAATACCCTTGCAGTGTTGCACTGCTTCAAATCATACATGAGGCTGGGGTGGGTGTTCACCTTTCTTTTCCTAATAAAAGAAATTCCTAAAGCTGTGCATGTGCAGGGCAATTAAAATGGCCATTTTCAATGGAAGAATTTTTGGTGTACTAACTGAAATTAGTGATGTCAGCTTTTGTTTTGATCTGCAAAGCCTGTAAATAAGTGGACCACCCAAGGCAGGAGACACTGAGGGTCCTGATTCAGGTGGCTGTTTAAGGTGCCTTGGGTTGTCCTATCTGGCCTCCAGCTGTAGGTCCTACAAAGAATGCATCTCCCAGTAGACCTGTATCATATCTATTGGTCCTACGTGGATGTTTTAGATAGCCTAGGGTGTCTCAAATGGCTCTTGCCATCAGTGGTTAGGCAGCTGAGGGAAACCATGTTTATTCTGTTCCTGCCACTCAGTCACTCTGATGGGCTATATATTTTTTTGTTTTAATAATTTTTAGATTTTTTTTTTTTTTTGAGTAGGCTAACACAAGGTCTGTGATACTGGGTGAATCACACTAGGGGGAATTAAGAACTTTCTGAAGGCTGCAAAAAGTTTTTCGAGTTTTCACTTTCAATCAATTTATAAATTAGTGGGATTTGTTGTGATTTCTTTCCTCTGCTACCATTTTCCACCAGTTTAAATCTGGTCTGAAAACAAAACTTGATGCTCCCTATATAGGCAGAACACTATAGGTCTGTTCTAACACAGTGCTATAAATATGTGTCTGGGATGAGATATAGAAATAAATAACTGCATATTGCTTGAATATAGAAATAAGAATATTTCCATGTTTGAATAAATAAATACAATGAAATTTGATGCAGTCTGAGGACAGCCCGTGCCAGGTTCTGTGTGCCAGTGCAGAGTGTTAATCTGCGAATCTGTGCTCATCTTTGAAAGATTCTGTTGCTTTGGAGGAAATCTGTAGACTGCCAAAAGCCAGTGGCTTGTGCCATCGCTCCAAGTGTTATTGCATGTTGAGCTAGGAATATGCTATACATTCTTAACTAAAATGTGTTTGTCTTTATTAGTGTGTTTTCATTACCTAGCTGTACTCTTACTCTACAAGGCTCAAGGAAAAAATCTGATTATTCTATTCAGTGGGTCTGGTTTTGACCTTACATATACCGATTCTTACAGTGATTGTGAATCCATTGACTTCAGACACATTACTCCTGATTACACCAGGGTTGTCTCATAATGAAGGGCCAAGATATTAAATGGAAATGAACCCAATAAAGCCATCAAGCTCAGACCTACTCTGTCCTCACGTGCTTGATCTGAACAATAAGAACTGGTGATTTATAAATCATGTTGTCTGTTTGCTTCTTCGTCATTTAATTCTTTTTTTCCATTGAATAAATGAAGATGTTCTGACCTTAACTAATCCCTTGTGAATTTGTTTGAAAAAAGCAGGATAGCTGTACCCCTTAAATGTGACTCAAGCTTTTGTTCAGATTTAGTGAGTGTCATCTTACTTTTTTAAAGGAAACACGTTTCACTTGACCTCTAGGATCTGGCAGGACTTGCTGCATCCTCTTTTTCATCACTTTATCTTCATGGCTTTTTTTTTTTTTAAATATTTTTCTACATTTTCAGAAGGAAGACTGGCCAATGCACAAGCTAGAGTGTTCTGCCATGTGTGCTTTTGGGCAGAACTGGAATCCCTCGGAGACTGTGAGACTAACGGCGAGGATCCTTGCCAAACAGGTGAGCAGGAGGCTAGACTTGGGAGGTATGTTGCTACTCTGGGTGCCAGGGAAGGCAGGAAAACGAAAATTGACCGACAGTAACTGTCCCTGCAAAGCACATACATACTAGCTTCCTGTGTACAGATGGGTGTAATACAGAGCATGAGCAGCTGAATGAACTGACCATCAGACCACTGCAGCAGCATCAGGGCCACTATAGTCCAGCTGGAGACTTTTGGGAGAAGATGGCAAAAGGCTAGTGAGGTTTTAAGCTGTATAGCTGTAACTTATGGCCAAGGTACTGTTGAACAGAGTCCGGGAAAGTTTAACTGATAGTTTCAAAATGTGTGTGGTGTTTCAGGCACCATTCTCTTAGATTGAAGCTCTTGGTTACCTGTGTGAGCTCGTACCAAGGCCACATTGGTGAAGAGAAAGAAGAACAAGACTTGGTGTATGTGGTTAAATTCTGAGGAATGCTTCTAGTGTTTTCTGTCGGCAGGCACTGACGTCTTTAAGAAGCAGTTGCCTGTTGTACTATTTTTCAGCTATAACTGTGTAGCATTGTGTAGTATATAACTCCTAGGACATTTGTGAGTCAAGAACACTTCTGAGTTATTCAGGTATAGATGTTTACAATTACTGGACTTAACTGGTGAAAAACAGATTGAGAGAGAAATCTCAGGCTCTTGGTCTGCGGAGAAAAAGAATGTTATTAGTAAGGAAATAAGATCACAATGTCGACCTCCATTTTGGTGTTCCCTAACTATGTGGATACTGAGGAGAACACAAGTGCTTACAGGGAGGGGACGGAATTCATGAATTTCAAGGTTATTATGCTGTGTATCTTTGTAGAGCTCTAAACTCTCTCCACAAAAACAAATCCTCTTTGAAGCATATTTGTGTGATTGAGGTCTGCTTATGTGACAAGGGCAACCTGGATACTGTATGTAGTGAGGATTTTGGTAGCCTGCTGGGAAGGTAGCTGCATACTAGCTGTGTGTGTAGATGTGTGTGTGTGAGTGTATGTGTGTGTGACTTAATTAAAGTGTGGTTTAGTGGTCTACAAACAAAATCAAATGTTTAATGACAAAAAGTCATTGGAATAAATTTGTGCTTTTATCGCTTACAGGGAGGGGGGAGAACCCTACATGTCATATAAAAGCTAAATATGCAAACCATAGTCCCTGAACCTCAGCTGCTGGGCCACCTGCAAAGCCATATTTAATGGCCAAGATTACAAAGAAGTGGCCTTAGGCCAACAATGGAGCATTGCTTTTGAACTCTGTCAACAGTCAGTTTATTCACTTTCCTCAAAGCGAAGCCTGTCTCCTGCCTGCTTGCTATTGTTAGCAGCTTTCTGGGTGTCTAGAACAAAGCAAATAACATGTTTAAAATACTGTTCAGTTTATGTATATAAATTTGATAGGAGTTAATCTTTGGCCGCCTAATTTGGTGTGGAGAGAATATTTCTATGGCTTTACTAATGGCAATTGATTTAACTCATTGCTGTTTGTCAACTTCCTTAAATTGCATACAACGTGTATTTGGGTTTGTTTTACAGGTAGGAGTTCCCAGCTTATGAATGATTAGACAAAACTGCCAACTTAAAACATTAAAGTATTTTCTTGTTGATTTTTTCCCCTTGTTGCTAGAGAACTCACCCTGAAAGAACACAGTCGGAGAAGCTGCTTGCTGTAAAAGAGTTTGAATCACGTAAGTAAAAAAGGCTTGCAGGTAAACAGAGGCAGTTATCTATATTCATGATTTGCTTCCCCCGGCCCCCCCTTCATCAAAACCTTTCAGAGCATCCCACTCCTTTTGGAGGAAGGGAGTAAACAAAGAGAATTGTTCCTTGTTTTTTGTGAGTGCAATGCTCTTTATTTCTTTCTTTTTTTTCTTGGTCACTTCTGGGGGCTGTGAAACAAGGGTAAAAACCTAGACAGAATTAATTATGTAGCATACATCCATCTCATGGCTTTTCTGATACTCTAGTGTCTTTTGAGAATTGTAATGTTGTAAAATGAAAATAGCTGGTATTTGTTACCAGGAGGCATAAAATCAGAGACAGCACAGTTGCTTGATGGTGACAGTGACTAAGGGGCTAATTGCAGAACCCTCTGGACTGTGCTTCAGTATCTGTCACTGCCAGTCAAGTCTGACATGTTATATATGATTGTGTTGAAATTCCATGTCCTAAATGCTCCAAAATGATCCAAGGAAGGAGATGAGGCAATGGCTTGCTTTTAACTGGAAGGCTACTGTTTATGTCCGGTGAGGCAGAGTTAGAAATTGAGCAACTAGGGGACTAGTAACCATCCTGGCATAGTTTTCACTCATCTGTTGTTTCTCTTTCTTGGTGCTGGGGGTAATGTACAAGGAGACAATAGGTTTGTATATTCACATTTCTCACTCTGATGGCTTCCGAAACCCCTTATAAAATGCTGAATAAATGCAGTCATTGCTAGGACTTGAGGTAGCAGAGTAACCAAGTACAGCAAGATTACAGTCTTATTTGCTTCCTGAACAAAAGCTCATGTCACAGCTGTTGGGACAGCTGGGGGAATAAGGGGGAAAAATGCCAATATTTGCCTTTGGCTAAGGCAAGGATAATTTTTACAGGTAGATTAGTAGGATTGAGGCTGAGGAGGATGGGTAAGTGCTGAAGTAATTTGTGTATATTCTTCAGCATTGCAGCTTGTCTTCAATAATTTATTAAATTGGGAGCTAAGAGGCTGAAATGTTGGTTTTGTTTTTTTTTTCTGTTGCAATGTCCCCCTTGTCCTCTAGGAGCCCTTGTTTTGTTTCTGGTTTTGTTAGTAAGAACCCCTGTTCCTTCTGCCTTGTTGACTCTCCTCATCTCTTAGCACACCTTTGCCATGTTCAGCAGTTGCTTTGCAACACCCTGCACAGGAGAGGAAAAGGCACCTGGCTGTCAGTTGGAAGCTCAAAATTTCTTATTTGTCCTAATTCTCATCAAATTGTCCCATTTCATTTTCCTCAGTATTTTTTTGTGACTCTCCTGTCATTCACATCTGCTCTTACAAATAATTTCCCTCTTCTTCCACTGTTGTGTAGCCTTTTCTTTTCCTGCAAGTCTTTCTCTCCGCTACTATTTTGAGTTGGAGAGAGGAAACTGATGAGTTGCTGGCTCTCTTAGAGCAGGAGCAGGCTGGTGACCCTGCCACTGTAAGAGAGAGGATGAGCTAAAAACTCTCCAACACTCTGTTCTTGATGAGAGAGGAGGGACCAGGAGTATATCATCAATCATCAATTGCTCTGTGTGGACCAGGCAGGAAAAGGTTCAGTGGCCACAGTTTTGGCTAGAACCTGTCATAGTCCTGAGGGTAAATCTGAACAAACTCATAAGGGAATACATGCAGCATGTGTGCCAGGACTTTTCCACTAATGTTCCTGCTGTCTCCTATTATCCTCAGGTATCTGCAGGTTAAACACACCTCTGTTGATTGTCACCGCCCAGGTAGATCGGCACTCCTGGGCACCTTCTTGCTGCAAAGGGAACCCCTGGTGGCTAGCCTCAGCATTGTTGTCAAGCTTTGTTAGGTCCCTATCACACGTTGCCAGAAATAGTTAGGCTCTCTGTGCTGGGAAAGACCATGTCTTTTAAAAGCAGGGATAAGCAGCATTCCTTAGCAGGAGTCTGGGCTGGCTTGTACTGATAAAGATTAGGTCTGTATGAGGAAGTTTCACTATGTAAAGCATGTTTTAAGAAGTGTGATGCTGAGTGTGACTTCATACCGCAGTAAATGGGACCAGGTAGCTCATAAGGTCGTGTTAGACAGCTGAGGATAGCTACCCACAGTTGATAGGCTTCTAGAGGGTCAGGGCTGACTGGTCTGTTTGCTAGCGTTAACAAATGCACTTTAAACACTCACCCTTCTCCCAGGAAAAGGAAATTTGTGTCCAGTTACCTGCTAATGTAAAGACGTTAGAAAATGCTTTTTAATCCTGCATGTTCTTGTAGCGCACGTATGGCTTTGGCAGAAGCAGCATTATGTTTATGGAAGAACAGACACTTCTTGCAGTACTTCCAAGTAGCTGTTCCTTGAGGGGTTTCTGTTTAACTCTGGGCCTGTTCTAACCTAAGTCTAGCTGCAGTTCACAGGGTAGTGTTCCTGTTACTGAAATGGAATGTATTCTTTGTCCACAGACCTTGACAAACTAGACAATGAAAAGAGAGAGCTGATTCAGAACGACATTGCTGCTCTTCATCACTTTTACTCAAAGCACTTGGAGTACCCTGACAATGCTGCCCTTGTAGTTCTCTTTGCACAAGTAAGTTGGCTAGAACGCAGCCTGCTTAGGTGGATGGTGCTGTAGGATTTTAGCCTTTGTGAAAGGGGAAAAATGTTAATGGCAATGGAAATAGTAGCTCTTTGCTTATCTTAGGGACAGCTGAGGGTGCTTGATGAAGAAGATTCACTTCCTTCAGCAGAAGTGGCTGGACATGCCCCATTTCAGTAGCGAGGGGAGAGACTCTTGTCTGCACACTTTCTATGAGGTGTTTCTCAAGCACTGAAGAAAAGGGGAAACAGCCTGTATTAGATCCTGTCAGAATTAGGCTTCTTGTGGACCAAGCATAGTGCAGCTGTTGTTGGACTTACACAGAAGGCTGCTGGTCTGAGACCCTGCAGAGGCAAAATCCTTCATTCAGGCTTCAAACTTGTGGAAATCCTTGCTGGTCAGGTCATCATTGTGTTTGACCTTCACAGGGAGTAAACTTCAGAGAAGTAGAAAGACCAGTCTGAAACTTTTATCTGGTGTGGCTTTTAAATGCAGTCAGGTAGTTTGGTGATCTGAAGAGATGAAGGAAAGGCGGGATGTCTTGTCAGATAACTTCTGAAATGTGTCCCCTCTTTTTTCTCACCTGCTTTTCAAATGCATCTAAACTGAATGTATTGTAGTAGATGGAATAACACACTAGTGGAATACTGAAAGATCCATTTTCTTCTTTTTCCTCCTGTACTTCAAAATAAGCTAGTTTTAAACTTAAACATCTGAATAAAAAGTTGACTTTTTTTGAGAGGGAGGCAAATGTTGACTGCTGTGATGAAAGCTGAGATGGCAATACCCTGGTTAGTAGAGCTGGGCATCTACCAACAAGGAGGCACAGTTGCTATTTCCTTAATTCAGAGATACTGTTATTCTGTAGCAGAATGATTCTTTTGCGTGTTTAACGTCTGCTTGTCATCCATTGTGTTGTTTCTAATTATACATTTCCCTTCAGTGAAAAGTTTTTTCTGTTTTGAAGACTTTACAATTTATATTTGTCAGAGGGATACTTTGAAGACATCAGTATATCCAGTTTCTTCTGCCATTTCTGAATGTTTTTGTTAGAATGTAGCCAGAATCCCCAAAGATTACATTATTTTGGCTATAATGACTTTTACTTCATGTCCTGTCCTGGACCAGCTCCATTGATCATGGTACTTTAATTGACTTCTGTGAACTGCTCAGTCCCAGATCTGATACTCCATCTGATCTTCTCTGTAGCTGTCTGATGTCACCCTTAGGTGTCACCTTAAGCTCATCCAGATCATCAGGCAACTATCTGCCACTGTGGACATCGCAATTTTTTGAACTAAAATCTCCAAAGGTCATCTGGATGCTCCTCAGAAGTGTTTTACTGGACACAGCCTTTTGAGGTTTTAGCCCCAGCATAAATCTTTCTAGAAGAAGGGGAGGCATGTCTTTACTTGATACATACAAACATGTTTCCTAATAATTAGTTAACTTGCCCTAAAACCATTAGTATGGATATGCTGCTGCTCCTTTGTTTTGCTTCAAAACTTTCTCTGGCCTCATGCTGTCTACTTTGCTCCTCCATTTGGCATTCTTACTCCCTGTGGCTCAGGGCAGTCGTTTGGGACTTGGATACCTCTGATTCCTTGCTCACTGCTTTTTGTGGGCTTTGTCTGACGTTGTTTCTCATTCAGCACGGCTAAGGTGTAGTTGGTCCTTTTGAGTGGAGCAAAGATTTTTGTTCAAACCATCCCTGCCTTTCACCGCTCTCTTCCCCAGCTGTTGGTATCATTCTACTCTCTTTTGTCCCTGTGGAACATAGCTCTTGAGACTGGTGCTCTTCCTCTTCAGTCTCACCTTGTCATATTCTTCAAACAGTTTCTCTCTTGTCTTAAGTTCCAGTGTCTCATCCTTTCCTTGAAGACCTTGCATAATTTTGTGCCTCCCTTTGCATGTTCTCTTTTCCACCATTGGGAACAACCTCAAGCTCTAGTTTTTTTGCTGTTTTCTCTTTACGCCCTCCACATTGCCTTTTTTAGTCATGAATTCATCTGGTGAAACCAGTGGTATCTCATCCCTTCTAATTCTTCCTCTTCTGTCATTTCTGGTATGATGCATTCAAGAAGTGGGTTGTCTCTGGCTTAGTGGAGGGGAGTTGATGATAACTTACTACATATTTCCCTGTGATTCAGAGCCATCGAGCTGTTCTTCATGTCAGCATTTCTAGCCTTATGTTTTTACTTGCTGTTGATATAATCTTTCCCTTCTACTGTTTTTGTATTCAGCAATTACATTTTGGTTTTGGTTCAGGTATGCTCATACATTGGCTAGTGCAGTAGCATGCTCATCTTGAGAGACAGGGAGCCTTTGGATGCTACCTTGCTAAAAATAGCAGGATAAAGATCAAGCAAATATACTGATGAGCGAATCAGAGAAACAGGACGCTTCTCCTTAATCGTGAACTCATCCTCAACAGTTCATACCTGAGGAGTGGCTTTGGGAAGTATTTGTGTATTTCTAAAATCCAGTCCAAGCTGCATTCCAGCTTGGGGGCATATCATTGTTGGTAGCATTTGTCATCAACCCTTACCCTTCCAGAACAAATACTTGCACTGTACTTGATTGACTGTTACTGTGCCCATTGTAGCTTCAGCTGGACTTGGCCACATGGTAGTAGTTGTTTTAGTGCTTTACTGGCACTTCTGTGAACATTTTGATGATTGCAGGGAGGTGTTAGTGAATGTGGAGAAGGTTCTCTTCGTGTTGGCATGTATGTGACTCTTAGTGAAACTGGAATAAAGTATTTGGTTGAGGTGCATTTTGGTCACTTAAACCACACAAACCACAGGAAACACAGCTGAACCTCCTGTAAAATTCCCTTGAGTTTAGTGAGAATAAAAGTGGGTGAAGGTTTTAAAACCTGCTTGAATCTCTATTCTATAAGAAAGATTTGTGAACAAGCTCTCTTGATCCTGTGTCTGTTTAAATTAGGAATACATTTCTTCTCATACTCTGTCCTTTTTCTGTCCCTTCCTATTCTGTGTCTTTATTAGGTTCAAATCTTACTCACTGCCTTTGTTGTTCTTTATATGTGCTTTAGCTTAGCTGACACACAGTCCTTGATGACAGATGTCATGGTGGCAGGTCTCAATAACATACACTCCATCAAAGCTCTGTACTGCCCCAGCCCGGCTTTTGCTGTTCGCTGCTGTTCATCCCCATGTTGCTCCTGTCTCTTTGCCCTATCAGTGTCAGGCTTCGTTTCATGTTTGCAATGGTCTTGCTTTGTCTGACACTTTTTAGCACTCTTTTCAAGCCCCATTTCTCTTGGTTGGCCTTCCAAGGAGCAATCTGCTAGATATTGTGTCCTGAGCAGGTGCAAGTGTTGGACTGTCAGTTCTTTAGTGTCCTGCACATTCCTTTGGATAGGGACTTTGCCCTCACTTCACTGTTTGAGATGTCATGTAGCTCCCTGTGAGTACTGGTGAGGTGGAAAGAAAATTGTAAGCAAATTACTGCAATTGACTTTGAAGTATGAGAATGTGATGTGAGTGTGGAGTACTTAGCTGACCAGAAGCTGATCAAGTCTCTTTCTCTTTTTCCTTAGGTGAACTGTAATGGCTTCACAATTGAAGATGAAGAACTCTCTCATTTGGGATCAGCCATATTTCCTGAGTAGGTTGATTTTAATACTTTTAAGAATAAAATTAACTTATTTAAAAACAAATAAAGGTTCTTGCACATGTGTGGAAGTAGATCTCAAAACCTAGTTTGTCTTGTTTTAAATATCTTTAGCTAATAAAATGTGGCCAATGATTTGCAGCAGTTTTTCTTAAAAATCTGGTAATTTTGGTAAAATTGCACTTGTAATTTATTTTGAAGCTTAGATTGTGAGCTGTGTGCAGGTTGATAGGAAACAATTACTTACTTTGCTAGCAGGTTCTGGACAGGGACATCATGTAATGATCAAAGAGAAATAAAAAGGATTGCAGGTGACTTCCTCTATTCACAACTTTGTGTTCTGGCTGGGTGTAATCCTTCACCTGGTGTTCTCTGAACAACATCCCTTCTACCTTTGTTCCTTGGCAAACAGTAAATCCCTTTCATAACTTCTTTCAGCCTCCTCAGATGTTTTAAAAACTGCAATGCTTTGTGTTGCTGTGATAGTGGAAAAAAATACGTACAAGTTTCCTAGCTTTACAAATATACTGCAGATGTTAAGCGTTAACTGCAGTTTGTGGACAGGGGAGCACAGCTCTTTAAGACTGAGAACATTTCTTCCATTGAAGTCTGTCCTTCCCACTTAATGTTGTAGCAAAGGAGGATATTTTTCTGCCCCTGTTCTTTGCAAACCCTGTACTGAAAGTATTATCACTGTCTGCTTAGGTTGACTTCCCTGTGAGGCATAGATTACTAGTAACTTATCTATGTCAAAGTAATCTGAAACTTAAGATGCCCAATTAAAGCAGGATGTGATTTTGCTAAGTGCTGCATACACAGTGTAGTAGATAGTCCTTACTTCACAGACTCTCCTTCTTCAGGCAGGTCTGTCTGAAGTCCATATCCCTGATATACAGATTGGAAATTAAGGCCTTGAAATGCCCAGGATCAGAGTCATGGTGGAGAGATGAGAGTATTAAACCACTATGTTCTGGAAACATGTCCAACACCATCCTTTCTTTGTGAATGCTCAGCATACAAGAGCCACATCTTTCCTACTTAACAGTTATGCCTGTGAGCTAGAAAGACTGAAGAGACAATTATTATTTTGCTAGATTGGAAGAAAAAGAATTAAAATTACACATTTTATCTCAAATAAACAGCAAATTGCACTTTCTCCAAGCTTGGTAGTAAGGGGGAGTACTTTTCTCTAGCAGTCCCAAGTTTTGTCTAAGTTGTGTGCATGCATAACAAGACAGAGGTCTCTTCCCTCCTGCTTCAAATGTCGAGGCTGTTCACATTTGCACAGAAGCCAGATAAAATTTTAATGCCCATCTTAAGTTGTGATGCAGCAAATGACTTTTGTTTTCCTGTATTTGCTTGTTTCCTTTAGGTTAAATGTGTTTCTATTTCTTTCTCCTCTGAGGAAAATAGTCTGTCTATCATAGGTACCTAAATAGGATGTTAGTTGATAGTTAAGCTATATGAACACCCCTGTCAGCTGTCCTGTAGCACTATAAGAATGGGAAAATAATAACTTGCCTAGTCCTGCAATAACAGGATTTGTTGAGTCACCATCCCTGATGGTATTTAAAAAACGTGTAGATGTGGTGTTTAGTGATGGACTTGGCAGTGCTAGGTTAGCGTTGGACTTGATGATCTTAAAGGTCTTCTCCAACCTAAATGATTCTATGATTAACACAGCCATTCTCCATATCATTAGAATAAACAATAGTACAACACATATTCCCAAGGTTACCTTCATGTTAAGCCTCAGAATAAAAACAGCTTACAAAGAGAGACTGACTCAGTCTTTCAGACTTGTTTTGTGAAGTGGTGCTTAACTTTTTGCCTGTTGCTTTTGGTGGTGGTGGGGAAAGCCTTTTTTACTTTTCTACTTTTACAGTGTTGCATTGATGAACCATAGCTGTTGCCCAAATGTGATTGTAACTTACAAGGGGACCTTGGCTGAAGTCAGAGCTGTTAAAGAGATTGAGCCTGGAGAAGAGGTAAATGCACTGTGTTTGAATGTACTCTGTGCATGCATCCTGAAAGTAGGATCCATTCTGCTTTTCCGGATTCGCTTCAATTAGATGACAATTGAATAATAGGGAGGAGGGATCTCTTATTTCTCAGAGAAGTGCAAGATGTTGCTTTGGAAAAGTTGGGGTGGCTCTGGAGGACTGAAGTGATTCTTGGAAGCAGTATCCTATTTCATGCTAAAACAAGGGAAGGGCACCTGCAGCAGTCACTGTGTATCTGCCAGCCTCTGTCTCAGTTTACCCATCTGTAAAATGAAGCTGAGTTTACTGATGTTTGGCTGGTGCTTTGAAATTCCAAGATCAAAGCAAATTATTACTGCTATAATAGTTCCCAGTATAATAGTAATGTATTGAAATTGAAGCCAGAATAAACAAGGTAAACGGGTACAGATAAGTCCTCTGACTTCTGTTTGGACAGAGCATCCAGAAAACATGGGACTCAGTCATATCACCTCAGTGGCGCTTGCTGGGAAGTCACAGAAGAGCAAGAGTGAGGTTTTTAGGTGAAGTGACGCTGAACAGTGATGGATAAAATTCTGTGAAATTGAGTAAGGCTCTGGGTTTATCTTGAAACTTTCTCAATAAAATAATGAACTTGGCAGGGAGCCTTCAGCAGCAGAGCTGCTTTTTGCTTTAAAAAAATAAGAAAAAAGATGTTAAAGTTGAGGAAGATGTCCAAATATCTGCAGGGGATGAAGGTACGGACATTCTCTCTGGGCATGGAGTTTGCATAGAGTTCTAGTGGCTCATTTGTTAATGTTGATTTAGCAGGGAAGGTTAATGCTGATCAAAATAAGTCCAGATTTGATTTTGATAACTCCTACCACTTTCTGAAGGATGTGATACCAGTTTTGGAGAAGGGGAGAGAGGTTATTTTTGTTGATTATAGCTGTTCACCATTGTGAACAAAGTGAGTTTAGTTGCTGGAGCCAAGGGTGAATGAGTCAGGTAAGCAACTTCTTTTTATGCCATTTACTAACGATGATTTGTCTGTGATGTTAGCGGTCACTGCAAATGCATTGTGGTAATGGACAAGGACTCATCCTGGGTTTGGAATTTTACTGCGGGATCCTGGACGTTTTCAGCATTTTTGGGGAGGGTTTACTGTGAGAGGTAGAGATGTGGAGTATTTACCTTGCTTGGCATCTTCTCTTTTGATTGAGTTGTGTCTTAGAAGCTGCATCGGTTCTCCATGACCTTATGGCTTTTGTGCATTTGCCTTTCTGATGCTTAAGAATTTTATAAAGGTGAGCCCATGGTTTTGCTTGGGCTCTGTGTGGTTTTACGGCCTGTGTCTCCATCTTCAGGTTCAATGTAGCCATTGCATCGCAACATTTTTAAAGGTTTTGCTGTAAATGCGGTTCCTGCATTTTGCATGCTTTGAAAATACGGAAGGGAGGAGAGGAGTGTGAGGGAAAGTGTGAGATCACACAGAGTAAGAAGAACATGTATTGTATGAAGTTATATGTACCTTTTACTTTAAAGAAGAAAGAAACCCTAGTCATAAAGACTGAGCAAAACATTTCAAATAACTATAAATGAGGAAATGGAACTAAAGCTGTTCCTTGGTCTGCAAAATTGTCAGCTGCGCTGTGTATATGACATGTTTCTTAGGGGAGATGTCAGTTTAAAAACACAGCATTAAAGCTAGTTGCAGGGGTTCTTTTCTGAAGACCATTGAAGTAGAGGAAAACTTAAGAATAGTGTATGTGAAGGGCCTTTAAAATGTTCAAAAGCAGGTTTTCTTTGCTTTAACTGAAGTAAATCTGATATTCATTCTCCTAGAACTGGAGCACTGGGCCTCTTTTCTTCTCAGAGATCTAAAGGTCTTGTTCTAAGTTTCTAAAGCTACTAGTGACTGCTGTTGCCCCAATTTTTGTAGGTTTTCAGAAAGAAAAATCTGAGATTCCAGCCTCCAAAAAACCAGGCCACTGTAATTTATCCTAGGCTGGATACCTGAAATCATTATTTTACTTCTGAAAAGTAGGCATCTCTTTGTACTCTGACAGGAGCCTGAGATTTATGCTGTGATAGTTTCCTTATCCACACCTGAATCTTGCTGTCCTGGGTTTAAGCCAGGCTAATATTTGAGGGAAATTCCATAATGAATAGGAAAGGAAACACTCCTCTGTCAGATTGCTTTCACAAATGGCAACTCCTGATGCTGCCGAGAGGCTTGGAATGTGAGGGAACAGGCAGGTGATGTGGCTTCAGGGATCCACAAGCTGCATGAATATGTAGTCGTCGTACTACATATACCAGAACTAGTAGTGATAAATATGTCTAGTTACACTGTTTTTCACTGACTGCTGTGTTTTTAACCATGTAGGTTTTTACCAGCTATATTGACCTGTTGTATCCCACAGAAGACAGAAATGACCGGTTAAGAGACTCATATTTCTTCAATTGTGATTGCAGGGAGTGCATTACAAAAGAAAAGGTAATAAAATTGGTGTGAAATATGCTCCTGACTGTCAAGGCACTTATGTCCTTAAATGTAATTAAACCAGATAGAATATTACATTTTGGAAAGTAAGATAATTTGTTTTTCTGTCTAAGAGACTTTCCAATACTCATTCTTTCCCCTGTAATCATGACACATCAGGAAATTTCCTGGTAGAGGCCTATTTAAAGTTGAGCTACAAAACAAAGATGAAAACTTTGTTAAAAGTAGGTAATTATACTGTGTCTTTGCTACCTGGCCAAAAGAATTTAGGTCAGAACTTTTTTTTGTAACTGCATCTTTTCTACTAACTCCCAGTGAGTGAATCTTGCTTGGGGCATTTCTGGGGTCCTATTCTGGGATCAGAATCCTGCTGCAGTTCCCGGTTGGGACATCTTGGTCAATTCTAGGTGGCGCTGTATGACATTGCTGGATGGTTTGGAGACCCAGCAGAATCTGCAAAATGGGCTTTCCTGCAATGGCATCATATAAGTGTTCTCAAGGACAGGGTGGTCCTGGGTCACAGCCTCTTGCGATGTGCAGGCCAGATTTGTGTTCATGAGACATTGCCTGGTGCCCTTCAAAGGACAAAGGCAGACATCCACACAGTGTTCCTTAAAACAAGGTGTTAGGTATTTTGAAGAAAAGCACTTAAGGATCGGGGGGCGGGAAAGAGGTACCCAAACCCAACAGATACTGAAACAACTGTGCCTGTGCAACCATTTGGACCTCCTTCACTGGAGGTCCTAGGAGAATTGAGCTTTGTGTGGCTCATTCATCATTCCAGCCAAGATCAGTCTGGCTGGCATAATCTGATCCTTAAGTTCCAGATCATTTTCCCTCCCATTTTTACAAAGGTATCCTTTTAAGAGCTGCTTCCCAAACTGACCAGACAACCATCTTGTCCCTCTAAATGGTGTCATCTTTTGTAACTTTTTTTTCCAAATAGTACCCAATATTCTTGATTGAGGCCATTCTGTTGATACCGTAGTTGTGTTTTTCCCCACAGTTACCTTGATAAGTTTGCCACTGAGTTTAATGAAGCCAGGATTTCATGTGTGATTTCCAACAACATGCTAGCTGTCACTCAGCCTCCTTCAGCTCTGGAAAGAGTCCCCTATAGCCCTCTCAGCTGGCAGATGAAATAATAAAGGAAAAAGAAATCTAACAACAATGGGAGGCTTAAACAGCAAAAGATTGTCTCCAGATTGCAGCTGACTTCATGAAGTAGTAAGTTAGATAGAAAGATAAGAGTAAGTGGAGCTGTCCAGCAGAAATAACAAAATATGTGGAAATGTGGTTTTGTCTGTAGATATGAAGGATCCTTTTCTGTATTTAATATCATATTGTTTTCCACTGAGCTATCACTTGGTGTTAGGCCTAAGGTATTTGGGCTTTTCTAGCCTTAAAACTAAATATTTTAATCCCTAATCTCTCGGAAGCAGTGAAATTTCCTATGTAAAACTGCTTTCATCACAAAATTGAAAACCTTTTGGATCTTTCAAAAGAAAGGGACTTCATGGAAGTAGAGAATGGCAGATGAACTGGAAGACGCAGAGGATTCTAGGATTCCCAGCCAAGGCTTTAAAGAAAAATTGCAGGTGCACATTCTACCTTTGTTTTTACATTCTTTGAAGAGCTTAAGTTCCCATCTGTGTCTTTTTATTAGAGTAATTTTGTGTAGCAGGTGCACCTTTATTTGCAGGCCTTGCAACCTGCATTTATAACGTCCATTGTGTTCCCTTCAGGATAAAGAGAAACTGGAAATTCGCAAGCTGAGTGATCCTCCATCAGCAGAGACAGTACGGGACATGATCAAATACGCCAGGAACGTGATTGAGGAATTCAGGCGAGCCAAACACTACAAATATATCCTTTGTCTCACCCTGACTCTACCGGCTTGGTGTGTGACCTAAAAATCTTACCTGCTGGATTGCTTCAGAAGTACCTGCAGGAGAAATACTATGACCATTAGAAGTTAAACTTATCTCTGTGCTCTTTTTGTCTGAAGAGTTGTCCCTGGAGACAAGGGGCAGTTTAACATTGCAGGTGGTGTGGGATTGTGAGATCCTGTGTTTGTTCCTTCCTGTGCGGCTCTCAGTTTCTAAGAGCGAAGCATATGGCTGTCTCCACACAAGCCAGAGACTACAGTGAGCATAGGTGTGTGCTTGAGTTAGTGTACTGTAATATTGCCCCGTTTTGAGAGACTGCATGTGAGGCTGCAGCCATTGCTGATGGTCACAAGCCTACCTGTTGTAACAGTAGTGCGGTGCAGACAAAAATGCAAGATTGATTGGGTCAGAAGCAGACCAGGCTATCTCATGCCTGATTCAGTACCCGTTGCGCGGGGAATTTCACTCCCCCTTCTTCTGACACATTGCTGGTACGGTGGTGATTCAGGAAAGCTGCTTTTTTTTTTCTGTTTTGTTGCTTTTTTAGATCTGAAGATTTAGAGATTTAGTTTTGTAGGATATCGGAGTAGGAGGGGGAATAATCTCATGAGCAGAATACCTCTGAGTATAGAATACCTATCAGAGTAGCTGTGGGGTTGTAGCATAGATGCTTTGACGCCATTTGAGAGAAAGGAGGACTTCTGAGAACCATTCTGAACAAGTTAAAGTCAATTCTTCTTCAACATTACCAGGTAGTTGTCTCAGGAGAGGCCATCTATTTATTCGGTTCCTTGACTTCTTCATACCTCCTAGTGAATTACTGGAGATCTGTGAACTCAGCCTGGACAAGATGGGTGCAGTGTTTGAAGACAGTAATGTTTATATGTTACATATGATGTACCAGGCCATGGGTGTCTGTCTCTATGTGCAGGACTGGGAAGGTGCGCTACGTTATGGGCAAAAAATTATCAGACCATACAGGTAAATATGACACACTTTTTTTTTTCTTTTTTTTTTTTCCTTTTTTTAAGTGCTCTAATTCAGTAATTGGAATAATTACAACAAGTTTGGGCAGAGATCACTTCTCTCAGTACATATTGTATAAACAGGCTACCCATGACATCACTACTCAAAAAGGAATGTTTAAATGCTGGGACAGATTTTGTTACTGTTAAAATGTGGTCTGCAATATATAGCAGAAGGTGACTCTGAAATCCTTGCTTTGACTTCTCAAAATAAGTTTGTTCCATCTTGGGTACTGTGCTAGTTCCGCTTAGCTAGATAAATACTGGTCTTTTTAATAGCCTAATACTTTACTAAAGCAGAGCTTCAAATTGCATCTGCAGTCAATATTTTGTATAAGGTAATGGAGGCAAAGCCTGCTGTTTCTGTCAACCTCCTGCCCTCTCCCAGTCCTTTCTCTCTGCAGTACCACAGTGGTCACGGATGCAGGAGAGCAGGGCCTTGTCCCAGGGTTGGGGCTGAGCAGCAGAGGGAGCTGGAGCCGAGCTCAGCTCCTGCGCTCGGAGCCTGTGGGTGCCCTGATGTCCCTGATCTCCACTGCCCTAGAGCTGGAGGCGTGGGAGAATGGGCAGGCTGAAACCCCGCGTGGGGCAAGGTAGCACACAGCCTCTGCAGGAAGAAATCAATACTCTCCCCGATAAATTTTTCTGTGTTTTTACAGTAGTGATCTTGTTTGTTAGAGCCAGCCAGTTACGTGCTGTATCTGATCCTGCCATGAATCTCCCAAGCAGATTCTCATCTTGAGACATGACTTTCTTGCCAGCTGGGGGGAGCGCAAGTAAAGCCCTCCCTTTGGAGCAGATGCCAACGTAAAGTCACAGATCACTTGGCAGAGAGCAGCGATACAAAGAAGGAGCCAACATTCTCCCCCTGGAGGCTCAGTACTATTTATCTTCCCTGGGACTTGCCCAGCTCCTCTGGCTCCGAGCCTGGCATTCCAGGTCAGCTCTGCTGAACCAGACTCTGCTAGCTCAGTGTGAGCAAGTACAGAATGGCATGTGTGCTGTACGTGCTGCTGAGGGCCCCTCGCTTTCCATTAAAGACCAACTGTTGTGGAATAGGCAGAGTTAGTTCTGCGGGTGTAGGGTGGCTCCAAAAACTCATAACAATGCAGTCTCTTTCTGTAGCTGGCTAGATTAAAACTAGTGGCAGAAAGTCATTGCCATCTGACAGCTGTTCAGAGGCATATGGTAGTTTCAGTTCAATTCCCAATTGACAGGCGTCCCCATCCCAGACACAATTGGCACTGACTCTTGGCAGTCATGGCAGAGGGGATGAGTGGTGAATGGGCAGGGGCAATGAGAGGCAGCTTCTTGCCCCCTTAGAGGGGGACAGGGGCTGGGAAAATGCTATGAAACTGCCAGGTGTGATGAAGCTGAATTTCTCTCTTGCAGTAAACATTATCCCTCCTACTCGCTGAATGTTGCCTCCATGTGGCTGAAATTAGGGAGACTGTATATGGCGCTGGAGAACAGAACGGCTGGAGTTAAAGCCCTGAAGAGGGTATTTATTTCCTGGTTTCTTCATTAATAATACCAGTTCAGACATGGGATCATTGAAACACGACGTGCTTCTCTGTCAGTAAGCCTGGCTTGGTAGGAAATGCACCATGTGTTAATATATTTTGTTACTGGATTTTTGGCTCAGGATTTTTCCAAAGATGCAGTATAGGTTTGTTCTCACATACAAAGGGTCTTACCTTTCCATGGTGGACTTCTGCAGCAGCTGGAATGAGCATTATGCTTAAACATTTGCTGTACATTCTTCACTGAGCTAGAGCTGTACTAGCCTAAATGAAGCAGAACTCTAGCTTCTCCTCACTTGCTAGGTAAGGACAGAAAAAATGCTTGGCTCTTATAAAAGGCACATAGTGTTTCATTGAAGTCTGTGATTTCTATATCCAAGTTAAACTAGGCATGCTTTTGGTGGTTATTTGTTCTGGAACCAGTTGATTTTTAAATAGCTGAAGGGAATTCAATGCATCTGGTAATGCTGAAACTGGCAAATACAGCGTTTGGTTTTACATTTTTCTTCACCCCTTTTTATTAGTCTGTTCCTTTAGTTTTTTTATTCTTCTATTTTTTTATTAGTCTGTACCATGTTTCTTGACTTTCTTTCCCTATTGTTGTTGGACAAAAGTTTATTTTAGTTTCTAAAGCATCAGTGACTACTGTAGCATATAATGACTTGGTGTGGAATGTCGTGGGGTTTTTTTGATTTTTTTTTTTTTCTTCCTTTTTAGATGCTGGCACGTTTTTAGCCAGCAATAATAAAAGAGCCATCCAGCCATGGTGAAAGATACTGCAAGAATATATGCTTTAAAATTTAACTGTTACCTGGTTTAAAATTAGCATAGGTTTTCTTTCGCTGTCGTGTTTGAGCTTTGACTAAAACTGGGATCTGTGCCAGTAGGAACATGGGATGGGGGGTTGGAAACTGTAGGTAGATTTGTTGGCATAGTTAGCTTCCTAACACAAACATTTTCTAATGACTCACTTCCAAAAGCTGCCTACAGGAACTGCCCAAAGTTATCCCAGCCCCTGATGTTTAGGATTTAGTGGAAAAACAAAACCATTGTTCTCTGTCAGTTTGCAAGCAGGTTGTCCAGAAGGCCCTCCTTTCTTCTTTTGGGCAGGAGGGGGAACAGAAGTCATTTCTCACTGCTGCTGAGGTGGAACCAAAGGCTCTTGTTGTACTGACTTAACAAATGTAAGAGCATAATTCCATAAAAGTTTCCCAAGGAGAAAATGGCTAAATGCTCTGATGGCTAGGATGCTGCAATTCCTTGCTGTATCTTAGCACTGTGGTCTTTAAGTATTCTTGGACTTAATCCAAACTTGCTTCTTTCAGTCCTATCTACTGCTGCCTTTTATTACATCTGTTTGAGGCCATTGCTGTCCTTTTCTCAAATGGAAATCTTGCCTCTACACCCACTTTGCAATGCAGTGGGGATAGTGGCAGGAAAGTGCAAGTCAGTGGGTTTGGCTGCCTCAAACATTCACTCTTGGGACCAGAGCAGGCTGCAGGTGAAACGGCAGGGAGTCAGGCACAGCAGCATCTGTCTGAATCTGACAAGATCTCGCTTTTGCTTCAGTGGTTGCCTAAGCAATTGCTTCCTTTGTAAAGCATTGGTAGCCCCTGGAACTGGTGGAGGGTTTACAGAATCAAGCCTGAAATGCCTTAATGTAACTTCTGCGATAGGCCTGCTCATCAGTCTGACAGCTGAAGGATAAATTGGTAAGAACAGAGCTCTGCCTGATACTGGTTAAGAAGTCCTTTGCCAGAATATTACCCACCCCACTTGCAATTTTCTGTCCTGGAGCTGGTTGCATTCAAAGTAGTTTTGTCAGGAATATAATTTTGAAAGGTGCTTTGGGATCCTTTAAGATGAAAGATGTATTCTCTGAATGTAAAACCTTTATTACTTAGTTTTGAATTTCATTTTATTTCCTACTGGGTTTACGACTACAAGGGGACAAAAAGTAGCTAGAGATGTCAGACTGTTTCAAACCTCTAAAGAGAGTATTTATAGCCTGGTGTTACATATGAATCAATTGTGTGAATATTTTTTTTCTTTTCATAGGCAATTGCTATCATGGAAGTAGCACACGGGAAAGATCATCCATACATTTCAGAGATCAAAAAGGAATTAGAGGACCACTGAGCCTTTGAATCTATGCAATCCTTCAAACCTTTATTTAAAAAGCCTTGCTATGGAAACCTTCAGGAGTGCTTTGAAAAGTGGTAGAGTACGAACACAGTTCTGTCCTATAATTGGAATGACAAACACACTTAGGCCTTGCAAAGTGTTCCTAGTTTCCACACATCTATACTTGCCTTTTTCTTTTTTCTCTCTCTCTTTTTTTTAAGGAAGCATCGGTGTTTCTTAAAGGTTATGGCTTTTGACAGCTCATGTGCAAAAATCGTCATTTTTTTCTTTATGGAGTTTCCTGTGTATTTGTGTAAAGTAAATAAAGTGGTCTTGACCCCCTCTTGATTCCACTTGTACACTTACATGGGTGCAATAGTTTGGTGACATCTACTTTTACCCAAGTTGTTTCATTTAATCTGACAAATTAATTAGCAAAAGCTGTACTTTTCTGTTGTGATTTAATATCCAATTCCTCTCTTCACAAATAATTTTTGTTTGCAGTGGCTTAGCTGACAGAAAGGGGAAATAGGGGTGATGAATTTTGTGTATTGTGCAGGAAAGCCAGCACGGGTCCCTCAGCCAGTTAATCTGCTGGCCCATCACTGCTCCTGGCACATGGGGACTCATGATGGTAAGGACCTAGACCTCAGCATGTCTTGTACAGAGAACACTGCCACCTACCTCAGAGCTCAAAGGCTTGCACAAGACACAAACAGTGCAACTTCTGGCTTTTTTAATCCCTTTTATAAGTTAAAAGGGAATTTATTGCAAAGGGGAGCTCATATTTCCTTATAGCCATACCTTTGCCTCCAGTGGATTAAAACTATTCTATTAATAAGTTAGTAATTACTTTTAATAGAGGAACAAGAACATTTTCTGAGCAAAAAAATCCAGGACTTGGGTTTCTTGGAGGGTTTTTTTCTCCATTTAGATCAATGGTAGGAGGTTACTTGAAGGATGGGGAAGGAAAAGGAGGGAGAGCGTGGCTGTGCGCTTCCAGCACCAAAGTTGAAATATATTGCACAGTAAAACTGCATGACCATTCCTTACTGCTTTCACAGCTTATAAAGTATGATGAGAGAGAACACATCACCATTAAGAACTTCATCATATTTTCTTTCTTGTAAGCACTGCTCTGAAAACTGCTAGAGCACAAGGATTTGTCAGCTCATTTTGCTGAAAGCTTTCATTGCTCTCTAGCCAGCAGTTGTTGCTGGAGTACATAAAACTGCACCAGACCTTATGATTCCAGAAAGCCAAGCCTAGGAAGAGGGCACCAGCTGACTATTTTTATCCTAACTTTAGCTTGTCAAGTAAAGTAAACCCTTGGCCAGGGAAATATAGCACCTTTATTTCAGAAAGTCTGTCCAGAGCCCAGACTATACTTGAGCACTAAAGAATCAGATTAGCCTAGCATGAGCACCAGTAGGAGCCTTGCCTCTGTGAAACTTGGATAACTGTTTATAGAATGTTCCTCAAAGCTCACTGTGGCTCTGGCTGTGCCTATCAGTTTAACATGGGAAACTAAAACAAGCGCAGTAGGTGCAAATACAAAACCTTAACTTGGTACAGGAAAGAACACAAGCATAGTTTTCCTTGAAAAAAAATGGTTTATTGTGTAGTGTGAATATGAAGGACAGCCTTACCAAAAAAACCTTAGTGACTGAAGACATTCTCATATTTGCAAAAGCATATAAGAAACTATTTACACAAAGGCAGTGAAAGGGGTAAAAAATTATTGCTGTCAATTAATGCTGAATAGAACTTTTTATAAAGAGAAAGAAAAGAAACAGTGCAAAAATACTGTCAAAAGTAATCAGTTCTATACACAAGATAAAACTGACAAGCATAAGCTTATGTACTGATATGAATAATACATTAGAATATAAAATAGCATGCATAGATTTTTTTTAAAGGCTTTCAATAGCATAGAATAGTTCTGCCATTCAGCCCTAACAGGAGGGAGTGGGGGGCAGGAAGGGCATATAACTGATGTCTCATTTCTCTACAAAATGTGTACATACAATGAGGTTGTGAAATTCAGATCACTGTTCTGTGCTAAACTGTCATGTACAGAATTACAGAGCAAATAAAACAGGAAGCATCAAAATACTGAAGTAAAACAGGACAGTAAAATCCAGTGACATAAAACTTACTTAAACATGTTATTCCATTTAACACCTGTCCCACACAATTACATATGGGAATATTACAGTCATCTGCATGTGTAAACTTTTTTCCTTTGTAAAATAGCCAAAGAAAGGTACTTTACTAATGAGGAAAACATATTTTCCATATGGAGCAATCTCAATAGGATAAACATCTTATTAACAGTGTTTCTGGCACTGAAGAATTGTTTTCTTTTAAAGACCAACTAGCAGCAAGAAAATACTTTTATTTAACATACACAAAAAGGAAGTTCTTATAGATGTAATGTATAATTAAGTTGTGGAACTCACCAACACTGGACATTGCAAAGGCCAGAGGAATAAATGGGTTCTAAAGAAAAGATAATGCGATTCATGGAAGATGGATCAATCAGTAGTTATTAAGCACAGTGAGCAGGATAGAACTTTTGCCTCAGGAAGGCCCTAAAGGACTGGGTGCCAGGTGCGCTAGAGGGGCTGAGCACCCTCTTCCAGATGCATTCATACTTCTTCCATAAGTGTCAACTACCAGTCCCTGTCCAAGACAGGGTGTGACCTCCAACCTGCCATGGAACTAGTTTGCGGGAAGCCTTCCTCTTCTGTTCCTGCCTGCCTAATCAGGGAACACTGCCCCTGAAATATCTGGAGCTGCATGTCCAAATCACTGAGTCCTTACCCAGGTGATTTAGAAGAGTAAACATATTAAGCACTGTATTCATTTCAGGGATCAGCTGAAGTATTAGTCTTTCCCTTGCTGTTAAATAGCACTGGGATTCTTCAGTGAAAGCTGCTATTTTACCGCTGACTTCCAGTTCACCCTCCAAAGGCAAAGTCCTGCTGTTGTAGCGTGTAGGAAGCTCTCGGTGAGGGTGCACATGAAGCACAGGCAACAAAACTTCAAAGAAACACCAACCAAAAAACGGCTGAGAGGAAGCAACAGAAGTGTAGTCTAAGATACTCTAAAAACACTCACAAAATTTATTTACTTTAAATATTTATATGAACACTGCTATTTTTGACCTGTGCACTAAAGGTTTTGTTTCACAATCTAACAATAGTTTATCTATGCTTAAGACCCCCATCTTCTGTTGTTTGCGCAACAACCCAAGCAGCCAGCTGCTCCCTGCCTCACATCACAGCCCCGGCATGCCAAGGCTGCATGCAGCTGCATGTATAACGTCATCCTCCTCTTTAAAGACTCAGATGGCATCTGTAGTTCCCATAGCACCAGATTATACAAGAAAACCTCTCTAGAAGGCTAAGAACAAGCTGGAGAAAATTGCCTTTGGGATTTTGGACTTGCAGCCTTTCTCTTGTTGGCATTAAAACCCATCTCCAAACTCCATATGACTTGGACTATACATCAGCAGATTTATATCCTTTTTTGTTGAGAGGTGGCCAAATGATGTTTTCATGCAGTGCTTCCCTTTCAAGGTTAGTTCTGGTATTTGCTCCTTCAATATGATGCATCCTTTAGTTCATGCAGTGGGTGCCACCCTAGCTCTCTGGCTGTAAAGCATTCTTTTCCACAAAGACAAGCAACAAAATTTAACTCTGACCTCTCTCAGTGATGCACGAGAGCTGCTACAGGAGGAGGTATCAGCCATACTGATGCTTCCACTTTCTGAGCACACAGCTGACAAACTGTTAGCGAGACTGACAACAGCTAATTCAGTTGTCATCTCCTCCCAGGAGACCGGTGGGGAGTCAGCTGTTGAGAATGCAGCACAGTCAGTAGCTGCTGAATTTTCCCCATAGGTCTGTGTGCTATAGCCAAGTATGAGATTGCCCATCAGCATCTATTTTAGAGTTGCTTGTGGGCTACACAGACACAGCAGGTATTGGATCAAAAAATAAAGTATTTGCTTAAAATGACCATCTCTATTGAAGCACTGAGACTTACTGATTCTTTTCCAACCTCTGCTTTGCCGCTTGCATTTCTGCCTGTTTAAAAGAAAGTAATTTTAAAGAAAAAGCTCTTGAAATCATGTAAATATTTAATAATATTTGTAGCTGAGGCAACTGATTTAAGTGGAACAGAAGTGTCCTTCAATATACTTTTTATAAAGGACTGCATTAGCAGTAGGTTGAATAAGTACCCACAGATGTGTCTCCTGCCAGCTGAAACTAGTTAGGGAAAAGGTATCTCCGGTCAGGCTGAGCATTTAGGGTCCCTATATACCTATATAGGAGAAAGTTTGTGGGAACAAGCTTCATCTTTCGTCGGGTAATCAGAGACAAGAGGTGCCAAAGCAGGCCTGTGGAGGAGCTGAAACAAGTAGGACCTGAGCAGCTGATGTCCACCATCTTCCAAGTGCAGCCCGTGGAGGACAGAAACAGGATGCCCACAGCACTGAACAGTGTCAGAACTCGGCTGTCATCTCTCCCATCGCTGATGGGACAATGTTAGGCATGAAATGCTCAGACCGTAACTTTAACCAAAAATTTGATGCCAGCAACCTCAATACTATTATTGAGGTAAGAGTTTAAAGAAAAAAAAAAAAAAAGCGTTACATACAGATGAAGAGTACACAAAAAAGAAAACCTACACAATGGATTCCCAAGTCAGGCTTACTCATCCACTCCAAATTGTCTCTTAGAAAGAGTCAGGGAGCATAGGCTAAATGTGCCAGACTGCAACGCGGGTGCCTTGGCAGAAGACTGCTTGTGTCAAACTTTTTAAGGTGCAGCTCCATTCACTGACCATTGATGCATCTTTGTGGTATTTTCCATCCAGACTTTACTCCAAAAGCATGAAACTTGTCTCGTAGAACTTATGCACTGTCATGCTTTGATGTTAAAAAACCCCCATGCAACACAACATACAGCAACTCCAAACTGTCCTCCTTTTCTACTTACAGACTCTGCTGTTAAAGTCTGCAGGACAGAAACTAAACAGTACTGTTGCTTTAAGTCTCATGCGTTCGTTTCTGCTATGACTAATAAAATTGGATGCAAAATGCATTTTCCTGTCACTCCCTAAAGGTTAGGAAATACTGCCCAAGCAATTTTGGTCTGATAAACCTACAACAGGTTCCAAGTCAGAAGGTTCAGTTTTTCCCCTACAAAACTGTATCACATTTCAATCATAAAACATCGGCATGCTGAGGTTTGGTTGCAAGCTGGGGTGGAAAGGAACCTCTGAAGACATGCACCAGCCCACTTCACTTATGATATTTGCAGATCTAGTCAAGATAA